TAAGGTGGAGTTTGCTATGTGTTTTCAATGTCCAATTATGCATGGTTTGGGGGGGGGGGCGATAGTTAGATGGTCGAGTGCACTTTGTTTTCTTACTGTTATGTGTCCAGTTATGCATTGGTGTTGGGGGGGGGGGGCCTAGGGGAGATAGCTAGATGGTCGAGTGTGCTTTGTTTTCTTACGGTTAAATGTCCAGCCAGCCAAGTTTGGGAATTTGAAAGCAAAGGGGAACCTCAAATTTAGTGTTTGATTGGCAATAAAGAAATCAGGGGCAAAGTTTAATTATGACTTTAAACGATTAGATTGAACCAATCAAAGGTATAACTTTATGGGATATCAATTGAGTTGAAAAGGACAGACTGATTGGATACTCTTACTGTAGACTTGTAAAAAAAAAATCAGATTAGAGTTGTGAAACTCTACTATTCTACTTTTTAGGGATGGTGATATTCGCTGGTCAATACTAAATAATGATGATGCACCGGCGCCCGCAGAAAACTTTCTAGGGAGGGCGGGGGCAAAAAAATCGATTAACTTTCTAGGGGGGGGGGGCAAACATGTTTAGTAATATTTTAATGTAGTTGTAATTTACTGTAGCGTATTTGTATGATGAACGAACGGACAGGAATCAGCTTAGTTACTTTCTCTATATTTTCTCTTTACTTTAATAAATGTTTTGTCTATTTTTGTCTAAAATTTTTTTATCCAATGAAACCCTGCGGGCGCCCATGGGATGATCCACAATGATTTGAAAGAAAAAGACTTATCATCATATGCACTTTGAAAATTAGAACAAATGAGACAAAAAAAGTTCATTCATTGGCATCAATTCATGATTTCTTTCAGGCGCATCTCCCGCCCCCCACCCCCCCCCCCCCCCCCCCCCCCCCACCCCCCCCCCCTCCTTAAGACTAAATTGTCTTTTTGCAACAGTTTAAAAAATATTATTATGTGGTACTTTCAAACGATTAAAATTAGTGGAATCTATGAAATATCGCTACGATGGATATATTTGATGATCGGTATAAAGCCTTGTAAAAGGCGTATAGTATTCGATTATAAATATACGATTGGCCGCTCCAGATTATAAAGCCAATGTCTTACTTCCTGTAGTTTGCATAACATAAATATCGGTAGTTTTATTCATTAATTTTTTGCAACTTCACAAGTTTAAACATTTAAAGAAATTATGTTTTTTTTCTAGATAGGAATCTATCAGAAAGCTGAAAACAGGGACAGAGTTTTTGGTAACCAGCATTTCGATTGTCAATTCTATTTATAAAACAAAATTGTAACAACTAGTCTTAGAAGAAAATAATCATATTCCTAATTTGTTCAATGTAAAATAAATTCTGTGGATTTGGTAAAAAAAAAAATTTAAAAAAAGTGTTTTAAATTATATCTAAGTGGCAATTAGTAATTTATTTGAAAAAAGTTACAGATTTTTGAAATGACAAATAAACATGTCAATCAACTGAATATTGGGAAAGATATAATTTATTAATTGCATACAATTTCCTTTATATAAAATCACACATTATAAACATAAAATATTTTTGTAACCTACTCATGGCTTCTTAAATTAGTTATGCAGTTCATAGACGACTTATAAAAATGACCAGCTTTCAAAACTTTCTAATTAACATGCTGTTGTTTTTTTTCTTTTTGGAAAAATTTGGTCTAATTAATAATAAGTAAGTTTCTTTCCAGTTGCATTGAGCGCATAAAATAATGTTAGCGGTGCTTTTTAGTGATGGAACCCTCTTTATTTATTTTGTGTGTGTGTGTGTTGAACATTAATTTATTTATTAAGTAGCTAGCCCCCAAAATAATGTAAATTTTTAAAAAATGCCATCTTACTATTTTTAGTACGATACAAATATTTTTGTTTGCATAACACAGGCAGGTCATGCCACCCTGCATTGAAAGATGATCATTAAGAAAATATCCTCATCCCATCTTTAAGCACCTGAAATATCTGAGGCCCCCGGCATCGTTGTTCTAGATCTTTTTTTTTCCACAATCTAAGCCTAGATCTGTCTTTGAGCCGTTTTCCTCTGGGGTTTTGGTGATGCACACTCTTCACTCCTCCTGGCATATGGCATTTTCTCTAAGTGTCCTGACCAGCGTAGCCTGCCCTTTGTTATTTCTATTATCGTGGATCCTGATAGCGACTGTACGATTCCTGGTTGGTTCGTATTCTCCATCCATATTCATCCTTTGTTGGTCCCTATATTTTCCTGAGAACGTTTCTCTCCCATGTGTTTAATAGGTTTTCGGCTGTTTTTGTTAGGGTCCAAGTTTCACTTGCATATGTTACAACTGGCCTGATTACAGTTTTATAAATAGTTTTCTTTGTTTCGCTTGTGATGTTTTTACTTTTGGGTATTTTCTGACTACTGAAGTATGCCCTGTTTCAGGCTGATATTCTTTCTTTAATTTCTGCTAGTAATATGTTTCTTTCATTTAATAAAGATCCTAGGTATTTCAATTGATTTACTTTTTCAAACGTGTGGTTTCTAATTGTAATGGCTTCTCCTTCTTCTTCTTTATTTTGAGGGCCCGCGATCATTGAAATGTTACATGTATCAGTCTTTTCAGTTTGTTGGGTATACCAAACTCCTGCAGAATCTCATACAGATATTTTCTTTTGTTGTTGTCATATGCCATTTTATATTCCACATAGAGTTGGTGTACTGGGATATTATTTTCATAACATTTATAAAATGGGCATCTGATAATGAAAATCTGACCAGTCGTTGATTTGTTTTGCCTGAAACCACATTGGTAATCACCTAGTATTTCTTCAGTGTGCGGTTTTAGTCTTTTGGAAATTAGCTTCATCAGTATTTTGATATATATATATATATACACTTATTGTTACCGTTTTCGTAATTTCAAAAACAATTTTAAGAGCTGTATAAACTGTCTGAACTGTATGAACTGTCTAAACTGTCTGAACTGTCTGTGTCCAGCTAAACCAAAACATGCGTCAGTAAAAGTGTTTCCAAAGTTTCATTGGGTTGCGGTCACACTCCAAGAAACATTGTTAGGACGATGTGACCTGAGAGACTGAAAAGTTAACCGGAAACCACCTCCCCCTCAACCGATCACACTCCCTCAAAACCAACCCACCCCCATCCCCCACTGGTCAACAGTTACGCAAGCATCCCATTCCTTTTTTTTTTTTTTTTTTTTTTTTTTTTAAAAAATAACAGAATGCACTTTACGTTCCGACCGAAGGCAGCGATGAGCTAAAGATCCTACTCTTCGTCACTATAATGCACTTCTTGATGCTTTTTATGGCAATCTTTAAACTTTTTTCTTTGTGTTGGCCGCGGGGGGCGGGGGGGGGGTGAGGACGGAAGCTGGTATACTGGAGTTGATCGATGTGCTAACAACTAACGCTTGCCTGGAGTTGATCGATGTGCTAACATCTAACGCTTGCCTGGAGTTGATCGATGTGCTATAATCTAACGCTTGCCTGGAGTTGATCGATGTGCTAACATCTAACTCTTGCCTGATTGTTGATCGATGTGCTAACAACTAACGCTTGCCTGGAGTTTATCGATGTGCTAACATCTAACTCTTGCCTGATTGTTGATCGATGTGCTAACAACTAACGCTTGCCTGGAGTTGATCAATGTGCTAACATCTAACGCTTGCCTGGAGTTGATCGATGTGCTAACAACTAACGCTTGCCTGGAGTTGATCGATGTGCTAACAACTAACGCTTGCCTGTAGTTGATCGATGTGCTAACAACTAACGCTTGCCTGGAGTTGATCGATGTGCTAACATCTAACGCTTGCCTGGAGTTGATCGATGTGCTAACATCTAACGCTTGCCTGGAGTTGATCGATGTGCTAACAACTAACGCTTGCCTGGAGTTGATCGATGTGCTAACAACTAACGCTTGCCTGGAGTTGATCGATGTGCTAACAACTAACGCTTGCCTGGAGTTGATCGATGTGCTATCAACTAACGCTTGCCTGGAGTTGATCGATGTGCTAACAACTAACTCTTGCCAACACGGTGACTAGCGGGGCTGATTTCAACGTAGGCGTCAAAGTTCCCTTTTTTAAAAATAAAAAAAAAATCTATGCCTAAAAGGAGACAAGACTCTGTGTATTCTGGCCAGTCTTGTCAAGGGAGAGTGCTAACGTTCTCCCATTTCTTAAAACTCTTCAAATAGAGCGAGAGTTACTGCCCATTCGCACCACCAGTGGGACTTGTTCAGTCCAAATAACTCCATGATAAACAAAACACAACAAAAAAATTAAAAATGCTCCTATTATTTACACGAAAGTGTCTTGCTATATGACAATGAACAATATGAGTGATTCCTAAACAACGCTTTGTTCTGAAATGAGCGTATTTTAAAATATTATTTTGATATTGTAATACATTTTGAACACCCCTAATCCACTTATCACCACCTACCAACCCCTTTAACACAACTTGAAATGAGCGTATTTTAAAATATTATTTTGATATTGTAATACATTTTGAACCCCCCCCCCTTTCCCCCCCCCCCAACCTTGAGCACACGAGATATTTAACAAGAATACGTCATTCTAGAATAGCGACATGTGGGTCGTGACCCATAACCCTTTCATAGTGGTCGCCTAAGACCATTGGAAAACACACATTTATGAAGAAGCAACGAAAATAATTGTATGTTTGGGAGGGTCACAACAACATGGGGAACTGTACTAAAGGGTCGCGGCATTAGGAGGGTTGAGAACCACTGGTCTAGTAGGTTGATGCCTCAATATATTTTCTTTGGATTGCATAGCACCGTAGACTATCTTATTTTGTTTTTAATGAAAATTAATTATCTATTAAAATATGTACTAACTTTACGGTCAGTTAAGACGTGTAATTTTATTTGGAAAATTGAACATCTTGTTCATATTTCTTTTTACACCAAAGTTGATGAACAAGTGCAAGGATCAAGACATGAACAAATGCAAGGATCAATACATGAACAAATGCAAGGATCAAGACATGAACAAATGCAAGGATCAAGACATGAACAAATGCAAGACATGAACAAGAGCAAGGCTCAAGACATGAACAGATGCAAGGATCAAGACATGAACAAGTGCAAGGATCAAGGCATGAACAAATGTAAGGATCAAGACATGAACAAATGCAAGGATCAAGACATGAACAAATGCAAGGATCAAGACATGAACAAGAGCAAGGATCAAGACATGAACAAATGCAAGGATCAAGACATGAACAAATGCAAGAATTTTTCTTTCAAATCAATGAAACATTTATTTCTGTAATGGAATTTATTAAATGTGAAAAAAATATGTATGAAAATGCAGTTTGTTAAATGTGCATGAAGAAGAACGTGTGTGACAGGCAGCCATTGGTCTCGTGAGCGCTACACCAATGTAGAAACACCATGGTGGCTAATGTGACTTAGTAACGGTTCTCAGGATATGGCGTGGGAATCGGTACAGCCCCTTGTGATGATCACCTGTATGAGAAAGCCAAAATTTAAACGATACAGTGTAATTATATTAGCGTTTCATATTATATTACCAGATTCTACATAATTGCGACCATGCAGGACGAGTAAATTAAAAATACATTTATTCGTGGCATGCTTACAGAGCTATTATTTTTAAGGGTTTTAATCAGTGTGATGCAGAAACAATTATTTTGGAATACGAATAACTTTATGAAACAGTCATTCAAAATTAATCCAAAATTAATCCATCATTAATCAAACATGCATCTAAAATTATTCCATAATTAATCCAAAATCATTCCAACTTTAATCCAACATTAATTCAAATTTAACCCAACATTAATCAGAATTTTACCCAACATTAATCCAAATTTAACCCAACATTAATAAAAATGTAATCCAACATTAATCCAAATTCAACTCAACATTAATCCAGCTTTAATCCAACATTAATCCAAATTCAACTAAACATTAATCCAGCTTTAATCCAACATTAATCCAAATTTAACCCAACATTACTCCAAGTTTAATCCAACATTAATCCAAATTTAACCCAACATTAATCAAAATTTAATCCAACATTAATCCAACATTAATTCAACTTTAGTCCAACATTAATCTAACATTAATCGAACATGATTCCAACTGTAACCCAACATTAATCCAACTGTATTACAACATTAATCCAACACTCTCACAAACGCTAAGACATGGAGAGTACCTCGTCAAGTTTCCCACAGAAGGCCTCACCAAGTAACGTCAGTGGGCAGTTGTTTGTTGCAACAGGGCCTGCAGCAAAGTTTCCCAATTATAGTTCATGCATTTTTTTAAAAAATATATAATTATTTTATACCTAACTTTTAATAACGGTGCGTTTATTCATATTAATTTACTACATCTTTAGAAGTCAGCCACCAAACAATTTTTTCATCTTGATGATTATATAAGGGTGTGTGTCAATGTTGACAAAAAGTACTTGAAATATAATTCCAAGAAAACTTCAAATCATAAATTATTATAAAATCATTCTAAAGTATGTCATATGTATGTGCTTATGAAACTATTTCATTCAGTGGTTTCAAAATAGGGGAAAATAATCCCCCCCCCACCAAACCCTTTACAGGAATATGGTGGCAACGTACCCATGAACTTGTTAGAGCTGATGCACACTTCTTTATTGGTTGTCACTTCCAGGAAGTTCTCCCCGTAGCGGATGTCTACTTTAGTCCATTGACCCTGAAGACATCGAACATACCACACGTTACAATGGTTAAGGTGTGTTACAAAAGTTTTTGAGAAAAACATTTCAATAAAACATTTTTATTAAACACTTAAAACCATCGAAATTCCCCAATCAAACTTTAAATTCTTTTCACTTGGGCAAATATATATCAAATATCTGAGCCCAAATCACGTGTGCAAAACTCTCTGTCAAGTTTCTGACCTCAGGTCACCTGTGCAAAGCTCTATATCAAATCTCAGAGCTCAATTCACCTGTGCAAAGCTCTCTACCAAGTCTCTTACCTCAGGTTACCTGTGCATTACTCTCTAAAAAAATATCTGAGCCCAACTCACCTGTGCATTGCCTACATTACAAAACTCGGAATGGAGCTCCTCAGAGTTCATAGTCCTCATAGAAATAACAATTCTTTTTTTCCAAGCCTGATACACGATCTGGAATATATGAACATTTTGGAATAAAGGGGAAACTAAATAATTTTATTTCACAAGCGAAAATCAGACGCAGACTGAGACTAAAGTTGGTATCAATTTAAAGATGGCCTCTTGCTTCTTATTATTGATTTCATCTCTTCCACACTCTGTTGATTAAAGAATACTTTCCGTGGAGCCGCCTCTGGTTACAATTAAAAAGATAAGTTTGAACATAACTCACCACTATTCCAGGAGCTTCCTGGCTCTCTATACAATCATTGTGAATAAGAGGGATGTCAGTATCTGGGTCACCGGGGCAGAGTTTGAAACTGAAGCCAATGTGAAACACCGAACCAAGAAGATTACTCTTGAAGTATGGGATAGCAATGGCCGAGCCTCTAAGAGTTGAAAGATAAAGTTCATTTTAACATTTATTGCCAGTGATGTGATTGTTCATAGAATTTTTTTTTAAAGGTTTTTGGTATAGATATTCAAGAAATAGGTCACCATAAAAAAATCAGCGATTCATTTTCTAAGAATAGGGTTTGCCATTTAATGGCGTAGATCTATTAATAGAACATTCGGGCTCACAGTCTGGGCAATCTTATTAAGATATTAATATTGCATCCTGGCACTCCGTTTGGCCAATCTCTCAACAGCTGTTCGGTACTTTCTACGTTAATGTGAGCCTTAACCTAGACGAAAACGTGTTTACAACTTCATTTTACAAAAGATTTGACAAACAAATTGTTACTGCTATTCATACGTGGAATGATACTTTGTTAGGAGCTATGTTTTACGAAAAATGTCTAAAAATAGTAATATTCACGTAAAGCTATGTGACGTTTTCCAGTCTTAGAAATGACAAACCCTAGGGGCTAAACTTAAAAATTATCTAGATGTGAAATCGTGTTTTGTTTACATTAAGACTAGCTTTATATATTTATGGAAATTCCCCGTTTTTTTTAATTTCTCTCGATCGTACTGTCATGATGATTACTGCCACAATAATTTGTTTTAGTGTGTACCATCAGCTGTGCAATATTCTAGCCTGGCCCTGTCTAAGGAATTATAATTTTCTTTCAGTCAATATTATTTTCGCATCAAATCCTTCAATATTTTGGCAAGTCACCATTCATTTGTTTCTTATTTCTGTGTCAATATTTTTTAAAATCAAAACACAATGCGTGTCTTTATGCCTTGCTCGGAACCATTTTTTTTTAAAACTTTAATTTAGCTTTAAAGAAAAAGTATTGGGTTATTGGTTGATAAGATTTGACTTTTATTTAGTCATGTCCAGCGATAATAATTTTAATCCAACATCTACAAAAAAAGGTTTGTTATCAAAGGGCACGTTTTTTTTATTGTAGATGACGAAACTTTAAGATGTACAACGCTTGTCAGACCAGATATCGTCATCAAACTGCCCAAACTCAGATGACTTGGATAATGAAGCTCCTGTAAATGCCACTTAAGTGGAAACATTTCTAATCTCTATTTGATAAAGGTGCCACCTGAAAGAGCCACATTTCCCGCCAGCGGCAGTCGGGTCGGACTCCACTGCAGCGTTCTCCTTGTCTTTAATGTTGAGCCAAATGTGTCTGCCTTCGTCCACAATATTCCCGCCATCAAAGCTCATTTTGAGCATCATCAGGCACGAAGCTGGAACACCTGCGTTCAAAGAAATCATTTTGAGATGTTTTAAGGGGTTTTGGTCAACATAAAATGCATGATAATTTACTTTATTTCTTCTTGGGGAAGTTTTTTTTTTTTTTTTTTTTTAAAGTTGTGTGGTGGGTTCAATTTAAAATGTTTTTAGGAAGCAGATGACAAGTAGAATTTGAATGAAAATAATTTTTATCGCATTTTAAAAATAAGCTTCGTATAAAAATATCATCGTTATTTTCTGAAAAATACTTTAAATTCAGTTAAAGCAGTCTTGGTACTTTTCCAAAATATTGTATCAATATATTAAACATGTTTAAATTGTTTTCTTAAATAATACATAGTTTGTTGTTTTTTTTAATTAAACTTTATTTTTTTAAAAACCTTTTTGGCGCTTTTTTTAAAACAAATCTTTGAGGACAAAGTCAACAATCTATGAGATTTATTCATGTTCCTAAAAAATAATAAACAAGCATAAGTCTTCAAGTTAAAGAAACCCATGGCGGATTTTTTTTAAGTTATGGGACAAAATCTTCAAAGATTACATGTGTAGTATCAGTACTTTTTGCAAAGTAGCTGCTGGCGTAAGGATCTTTTGTTCATGTCTGCCTCATTTCAAAATTACAGTCGAGTTATATTTAACTTAACATCTAGCTCGGTGTCTTTGTGAGTGTTTGAATAATTGTGGAGATGCGTCGCTCAGCTAAATACATAAAGAAAGTACAAAACAATCGATCGATAACTATAAAACTGCCGTAAAGCCAAAAAAATACTAAGTCTAAAATTAAACCTATTTCCTTGTCTGGTTTTTCATGTCACGAAAATGTTTAATACAAATTAGTGTCACAGAGTCTCAAATTATTTTTTGAGCAGCCTTAATCGAAAATCAACGACGCAGACAACTTACTGTCTCCAATCATCGGGGTGGCGTGAGTCCTGTTAGGGCCCCACTCACAGCGACAAGAAGCTTGATTCCACACCAAACCCGTATAGAACGGCCAGTTGCAGTCCTCTTGGACCCACTTTCCATCCGACCAACGCTCAAAATGAGACTTGTCGCCAGAAGGTCTGTGAAGACTGAGAGGTTGGACAAGATGAAACAAAGAAACAAAATATTTATTAATAACTTAATTTCGCAATTGATTCTTTCGTGAAAGCGTTGATTTAAAATGTGAATCGCATCTCTAAAATCGTGTTTAAATAAAAGCTGAAGAGACAACTATTTTTGGTCGTATACTTTTCTTGTACATACTGGCAATCACCACCTTTAGAGGGGCTCCCTCCAGACTGAATTGGCACGGTACCACGGTCATCCCAAGCATTTGGCCTGGAAATAAAATAAGGTAAAAATGTAATGTTATGGCACTAATCACATTATAATTATCAATTTGAGCTACGTGGTTTCGTTTCATTTCATGTTGTATGAAAGTCACAAGCTCAGCTCGTCTTTATTCTTTGGAATCTGCAAAGTATTTCCATGCAGTGCTATTATTTATTGACACACTGCAAATGGACAACTAACCTCTAGCCTAAATTAATTTGTCTTGCCATTTTTCTAATTTTTATTCTTTTTTTTTTTAAATATTCATAACTCTGAGTTAGCATCTAAGACTATAGAAAATTAAATGCCCATTGAGTAAGAGGCCTTACTTAAACTCACTTATCTTGTCAACGATCTGGTCTAAGACTGAGCAGACAGTCTTATTTATTGCATTGTAAGGAGGGTTTAATTAATTTTAATTCTTAAATTTTGTAACAAGTTTATTTTAAACTTAATCCATAATGGACTTTTTATTTTTTATCATCTATATGGTTTTTTTTTAATTATCTTTAAAAAATAATTTCATTAAGATATAATCTAATTTGGAAGTGGTAGAAAATAGAATCAACTTTTCATAGCATGAGAAATGGGAATCAAAGCTTATCACATATCTGCTCCCCATTTGATTATCATATACTTTGTGAAATCCGTGGTATCAAAAGGACCATAAAATTTAACGTCAACTTTAAACAGACATCAATATTATATCGGCTCACTTGTTTTGGGTTTCATCTTGTTTTTTACCATATCCGGTTTTGTCTGACGCACCTGGCGGCTGTTTCGTCTTCCGCTGACCTTGAGGTTCTGACTCATCGTCCGGACCAGCGCTGTTATCCTGGTCCTCCTTCTCCCACCCTACTTCTTTACCCTTCTGCTCTTGGACATCTTTACCCCATTCGCCCCCTTGTTTTCCACTTTCTTGTTTTCCCCAAGCCCCAGCTTGCTTTCCTCTTCCGTTATCTTGCTTTCCTCTTCCGTTATCTTGCTTTCCCCATCCACCATTTTGTTTGTCGTCTTGTTTTCCCAAGCTATCAGCATCTTCTTTATTATCCGCGTCCTCGTTGAAAACTTTTGTCCAAGGTCTCTGGCCTTTGTTTGCCACATCCTCATCCGTCCAATCGCCATCTTGCGTTTCTAATTTGCCATCCCGTGTATTTTCCCTTTCGTTTCCCCACGAGCTCTGCTGTAAACTTTCCTTGCTCCATTCACTGGCTTGCCCTGCGCTATCGTCAGTTTCTTTTGTCCAACCACTTCCGCCCTTCCCGCCATCTTGCGTGTTGTCATTCGATTGCAGATCTTTAGTTTGTTCCGTTCTGAAATTATTAAAACAAAGAGTAATTTTTTTATTTTTTTTTTAAATCGTAAATCGTATTTTAAGACTGTAGGTGCAAGGGAATAAACTATTGCATTTTGAGAACGAGAGTATGCAAGTGAACTTTAAAAATAAAATGTTTTAGCTACGTAATTATTTGTGTTCATCTGCGTTTTTTTTTTTTTTTTTTTTTTTTTTTTTTTTTTTTTTTTTTTTTTTTAGGGGAAAGGGGATTATTATTATTTTAAGGGGAAAGGGGGATGGGGTGACGTGTATTCATAATGAATGAGTTACAAACAGTGGAGGTTGATCTAAGCGGGGATCTGCCATAAGAAAAGATTTTCAAACTGGGAGTTTTAAGATTTATGTTGCTATATACAGGAACCGTCTTGGCTCACCATCACAAGCGAGAAAATGTAAACTAGATAGCTGTATACCTTGTTTGTCTCTGCCGAACAGACTGTCCTTTAGGAAGAGAGCGGTGCTGAACCGGTTTCAGGGTTTCGGGCCTGTTACTCTCCGCGCATTCACATGACCTTGGGTCAAAGATCATGAACTCTGGACAAGGATAATCCAGCCACTGCTTCCGGTAGTCTTTTCGAGTGAAAATCTGGAATAGGTTCGCCTGGGATGGATGGTGTCTTTTAACTCCTCTCTCGCATTCTGCCAGAAAATAATTAACAAGTGCATTTGACATAATTAAAAGACTCACATTTTGGGGAATGCTGAGAAAAACGTATTGATCTTTTAGTGCACACGAGGTTATAAGCCAAAAGATTTTTTTTTAAACTTTCACTTGTGGTTAATGTGTAGTGCATAGTAATTATTCAGTTCTTTCTGTGTAAATATTTTTTTTAATAAAAACACAATTCTTGTCTTGAGGCCTTGTTCGGAATCCTTTGCTGTTGTTATTGTTGTTGTTGTTGTAAACTTTAACTTTAAAGAAAAATCATTGAGGTATTAGTTGATAAGATTTCTTTGAATTTTATTTGGCCATGTCAAGCGATATTTTAATCCACCATCTAAAAATGGGCGTGTCATCAAAGGGGCGGGTCTTCATTGTTGGTGACGAAACTTTAAAAGGTATGCAAAGCTTATCAGACCAGATATCCCCAAAATGGCCAAACTGTAAATTTCTTACCAGCTGTCCACTAAATGGCCACTTACCGTTCAGTACACTGTCCTCTTTGGAAATGACCAAGCTGACCAGGGTGAAGAGGAAAGCCAGTGCAATGTCGGCATTTTTTAGCTGTTTACAGACGGAAGACAATTGAAAAGTTCAATTATTTGCATCGATTAGAAATGCTCAAGGAACTTTATGAAATGCTCTAAACTGAAAATAAATGAACTAACCATCCTCAACAAATATTTGAAACTACAACACTGAGATGAAAGTTTAATCAAAGGTTATTTTATAAATATTTGTGAAAGGTTTCATGGTTGTTCGGTTCAAAGCCTATACTTGAAAGTTTTATTCATTTCTCTTTTTTTTACATGACATTCAGAAAAACACAAATTATTCTTCTGTACCAACAAAAAAAATATAAAAAAAATGCTGACTTCATCAAGTTCATGAGAGAAAAATTTAACCTAAAAAAAATTCGTCCCCATTTTGAAATAATTCATCCTTGCCTCATCAAAGTTCAGCACACGCACAAGACTGTTCAAGACTTAAACAATAAGTCTACGTCATTTCTGATACATTCACGCTATCCCTGTGCCCACGTAGAAATTACTTTCTTTTATACCTTAAATTTGGATATTTTTAACTCCGGACAAAATTGTCGATTCGTAAAAACTTCCGCTTGGATTTTAGTTCGCCTGCTCTTAAGCTACGTTCACGTTCACGTTGAGATTTGTTAATTAAGGCATTTAATTATCTCTCTGGCAAAAAAAAAAAAAACCTTTAAAAAGTGATGAGTTATTTTAAAACGGAAAAAAAATGCGTTCTATTTTAACTTTAGAAATTTGAATTTGGATTCAAATCCGGACAGTTCAAAAACTATACAGCTCACAGCATCATTTTTTTTTTCATTTGAATCCACAGAGGAAATGTATAAAAGACATATCAATGTTTAACTGGTTAAATAAGCAACCAAATTCACTGGGGCGATCCGACGCGGTGGCACTCTAAACTTAAAAATTGTATTGTGATGGTCGCCATTTTTTGCTAAATGCAGGTTTTTTTTCAAGGAAGTGGGGCAGACAAAATCTTTTCCCGCCCCAGGCGGCACATAATCATAGCTACGCCCGAGGCGGCACATAACCATAGCTACTCCCCAGGTGGCACATAACCATAGCTACTCCCCAGGCGGCACATAACCACAGCTACTCCCCAGGCGGCACATAACCACAGCTACTCCCCAGGCGGCACATAACCACAGCTACTCCCCAGGCGGCACATAACCACAGCTACTCCCCAGGCGGCACATAGCCACAGTTACTCCCCAGGCGGCACATAACCACAGCTACTCCCCAGGCGGCACATAACCACAGTTACTCCCCAGGCGGCACATAACCACAGCTACTCCCCAGGCGGCACATAACCAGAGTTATGCCTCAGGCTGCGTGTAACAATAGCTACGCCATTAATACAACCAATGATAAACTTACTTAGCGAAAGGTGAAAGTCGTGATTTATGTGTGCTATGGTTTCACACGGCAGTGAGAGCGATCTTACAATATTTAAGGATTTAGATGAGTATATAAATAGGCTCATTTGGAGTTTAAAACTTATTGTGTTTAATTTATTACCATCAAGCAAGATGTTAACTACAATAGCAATATCTAAAAACAAAGAGAAAGTTACACTGGCAGCTATAATTATAATCATTTGGTTAAACTAGCAAAGTAATATATAAACAAAAACTATTTTAAACTGAAAGCCAAAGGCAAAACCTGAACTATCCTGGCCATGTTTCCTGTGTACTTTGTCATCATGCGGACGAGGACTTGTCTTGAAATAGTTCCGGGGCAATATCGGTCTGAGTTCAAGTGATCGGTACGCAATGTGTTCGTATGTGTTAAAACGTTATGAAGGCGAGACGCAAAGAGAGTGCGAGACAGGGCCAGGCCCCGATGATCAGAGGACTTAGCCTGAGAGACGTGTTTGTTGTTGATTCAGGTCGATGCCAACGTGACTCCGTGGTGTTTCCAGGAACGCCAAAGTTTGTTCTTTGCCCTTGCCTCTCCCAGCAAATATATCTGTTAATGAAACATGCAGACTTGTTTCGCATTGCGTTATCCGTAAGTTCTTCAAGCCTCTGTGGCTGGATACCTCAAAAATAACTCGGGAACGGCTGTCAGACATGCAGTACGGTATATTTTTTTTTTAAATCGTGGCAGTCTGAGCATGTTGCTAATCCGCGTTCAAACGGCTCGTCCCGTTGGAGACATACCTAATGGCTTGATAGGGTTTACTGGAAGATTTTAAAAGAAGGAAGAAATGGAGAAAACCCCGAGCTGTGCACGTGACCATTGAAGACCAATTCATTTAATTATTAGGCTCACTAATATTATCTCTTTTTTTTTTTTTACAAGTCATATTTTCTAGTTCCATATGATATACATTTCAATCGTAGACTGATCGGAGACTAATTTGCATATTTGTGACTTTGTTGTAGTTTTCGGTTATTTTTTTATTTTTTTATTTTTTTGGTTGGGGGGGGGGGAGGGGGGGGTCTGCCTCTCTCAAAAGTTGTTCAATGTTTTATGTAGCTATTCTCGCCAAGTCTGAATTTGGTTTAGTTACGCCATGGGGAATGTAAACCAATCTGGCATGTGCCTCACACTTTTGTTAAGACATGCGAGTTAACACATCCGATGGGACTCAGTGTGGCTGTAATGTTCTGGCCAACTCTGGCTTTTCTGTATTCTAATAATTATGCAATGACGGCACTAGATCAAGCTTATCGATTTCATAAAATTCATGTTAATATTTCGACCCACGTTCAATTTTTATAAAGTTATAATAATATACTCTCCCTCCCCTCTATGATTATTATTGGTCAACAAACTATTTTAGACAGGCGACCAATCTGGCAAATTTATTTTAGAAACAAGTTTTGGTGACACAGGAAGTACTCAAAAGTTAAAATTCAAAGTTGCTTTCATCCAATGGAACAAACATAAATGTATTACGAAAGTAGAATTAAGTGAGACTGGACTTTTTGATCTTTACGCTTTAAATTACAATATTTACCTGCATTTTTAATGAGCTTTTTTAAAAAAAAGGGATAGGATTGTTGTTATTGGGATGGGGGGTGGTTAGTGGTGGTATCATAATAATCATATTTCTTAAAAATACTATATTATTTCATGTCAAACTTTAAAATAGTATAGTTAATATAATATATTATATTATACTATAGGCCCTACTATACATTATATTTATAAATATGTCTTTAAAATAATATATATATATATATAAATATATTTATTATACTGACAGGAAACGTAAAAAAATAATAACAATTTCAATTAATTTTAGGTTGTTTTTTTCTTCACAGTCACAGGGTTCTAATTCCTATTAAATATACTTAATTTACTTTATATTTGAAAACCACAATACAACAGATTTCAGACTGCAGACAGATGAAATAACAACAATTCGAAATTACAACACAACTTTGTTTAAAGGTGAATGACATAAAAGTGAATGCTGGAATAAAGGTTATACCTTTATATAAAACAAACTAATAATAATACATTGTGACTGAAATTATAAAAAATTAATCAATCAATAAAAAAAAAAATATGATAGGTTTTCTTTGTACATGTTAAATCAAATCTATAATACATTGTAGATTACACTATTTACACATAATTTAAACCACAAGATCTTTAACTAACAACAATATATAAATGTTAAGTGGACACAATATAAGTTGTATTTTTTTCCAGATTAATTTCAAAAGTAAAATGAAAAATGTATTAAAATGTCTGAAGGCCACTGGAAAGCTAGAAACATTTTTCATCACCAAAATATTTAGAGCCATTCGGCAGAAAACGGATAATTCAAAATTTTAAAATAATAGCTATCGTTAACGGTACCTTAGGATTTTTAAAAAAATTGTCTTAATGAAACAAATAATAGATTTCAAAGTATAACTTTGCTGAAGACATTATTGATTATTTGAAATGTTTGTCATGGATATGTACAGCAGAATAAATAGGAAAAATATTTGTTTGAAATATTCAGTGGTGACATCAACTATTTATATCACAATATATGAATAGGTTTATGTAAAATAGAAATTTATGAAACAATTTTTAACACTATAGAGAAAAATTGCTTCTCAAAACATAACATGATGTAACATTAGGTTCAGTGGAGAAAGAGCTAATATTTTTTTTTTTTACCTTAACACTTTGCTGAGATACTTACTTACATGTTTTTTACAAGGAATCTCTAAAGTCTAAAGCTATAAGAAAAAAATTAAAGTATATTTATGTGACAATCATCCACCAAAACCGATCAATTATTAGTGAAATGTTAAAACAGAAATGGTTTTCTCATATCCTGTTAAAAATATCCCAATTTCATTCATCATCATGTTAAATCATGTTTTTAAATTTTGGTAATAACTGAGCCAATCTTAATATCACTGAAATTATAATAATAGCTTGACATTAGATATTCAAGGTAAAATAAACAGGATAGATTGCATTTGGAGTTGGTCAATAACATCCAGTTATTTAAATAGAAAGTAGTAAGACACATCTGGTCTACTGGAATACATACTAAGGTACGAGCGTATAAAGCGCTTCTTTAAGGATATTTTACAACAAAAATTCAATTTGGCAAATATTATGCTTTGCAGCATTTGGAATGTGCTTAAAAGGCATTTGGGAATTTGTTATACTTAAGCAGATATTTGGAATGTAGAGGCTATTGAATTTGTTATACAGATATTTGGAATGTAGAGACTATTGAATTTAGAAAAACATGGCAGTAAATATTGAAATTATGGAATGTTATACGTAATGTAAAGTTGGTATAAATGTGCTTGCATGAAACGTTATAAATGGCATAGTTATAACACTTCACAATATAATGAAATACACCCTACTTTTAAATAAATTTTAAGAATTTAACGGTAAAAATTTCAGTTTTCCAAAAATACGAATTTTTAAAAAATTAATTTTGCCTAAAAAATTTTTTTTTATTTGATTGCTCAGATAATAAATACGATCATAAGCATTATTTTCTTCTTAATGTACACAATTTTGTACAGATTTCTAAATGAGACTAATGATATTTAGATTGAATTTTTAATGAGCCCCAAATATTTTTTTTTTCATCCAAATATGCTTCAGTTTCTGATACATTAGTGCACTCATTGAAAATTATACTAAGTGCAAAAAAATACAGTAAAAAGCATAGGTGTATCTCATCTTGTTGTGACCAGTTTGGAATGTTCAAGGAATATCAAGTGAAAAAGCATTTAATAATCTGAAATAGTTGTAAAATTAACATTAGGTTCAGAGACAGGAACATGAAAAGTATTTAATGAGTGGCTAGTGATCCTATTTCATTTAAAAATAAAAGTTTAAAAGTGAAACAGCATGTTATAGACTCTTTTATTAGAACTGCTTAACTTAATTAACAGTACACCAATTATCATTAGGCTTAGGGTACTGCATTTTTAAGAAATAAGGCTCACTCAGGATTTATTCTACCATGATGTGGATGCAATCATTATATTAAATAACAGAAAAATATTTGATCAAATCTATTCCAACCTTAAAATATTTAAATAAGTCGATTTTGTTTAATGTTATTTTTTTTTTAGTTTTTCCATTTATATTTTTTAAGCAAATGAATTTTATAGATACTTAAATTTGTATTGCTAAAAATATTTGAACTATTTCTTTTGAGCTTAAAAGTTTCAAGGTAAAATTGCCGATTTTCTCAAAGTAGTTGATCTGCCCTCTTTCAATTTACTAATTTAAAAAGTTTTAAGCGGTAAGAATCTTCTGATTTATTGGATTTATTTACTGATGTAACTTTGTACACTTAGGGAGGTACTCATTGTTACATTTTGTCACTTAGGGAGCCACTTATTGCTTTATTTTTTTTTTATCTTCTCCTTTACAGTTTACACGAATAGTATGTAACTCTTAATTTACTTAAAATGCATTTAAGTCCAACCCACTCATAATGCCGTGAATAAAATATTAAACATACTTTTATATTTTGCAGCAAAGTCCAGAATGACTTGGCTACTTAATTATTCACTTTTTAGGAAAACGGGTTTGGACGGTTCATCAGTAACAAATAATATGATCAGAATGTGAAAAATAACCAAATTTGATAGATCTTGTATTAAAACTTCAATGTTAAAGATGAAATGTGAATACCTTGTGTAACATGATAAAAAGAATAATAATTATTATACTTGTTACAGTATTTTTTGTATAGGCCACCACACAAGACTTTTCAAATAAAAATTTATAAAGAAAAAAGCCCTGTGGTAGATCCTCATATAATTTCTCTTATTTGTACAGATTGTGACATAAATTTTTTTTTTTCCTGGCAGCGCCTTAGTATTAAGTATCACGCTGTAAATATAATGCTCCTTTTCAATAGAACAGTTTCTTTAAACACATATTTCAACAGCAGTTTCCAAAAGCGCCTGACTTTTGGATGCTTTCTGAAATTTTTGGTTTTCCACCCCCTGCATTCAAAGTTGATAGTTTAAAAAGTTTCTATATCACTTTGGTCCCCGGCAGCCACAGGAGTTGAAGGGTACAAGGGCAAGCTATGCTCACACATTAGTGAAGGTACCTTCTAGTGCAGACCTAACCAAACCTAAAGCTTGCCTGTTGTTGCCCACAAAATGGGGTTCCATATTGATGTCATCTAGAGATTCTTTGCTGGATGACAGATTGACAGACTCCAGGCTGACCTGGTGTTGCAGATCTGGTGGTGGTGTTGTTTGACCCACAACATCTGGGATTGAAGAGGCCATGGAATTTTCATAGTGAGGTCCACCCTCTCCTCTTGTGGCTTCCAAATGCAATACCAGTGGAGCTTGTGGGTTGTCCTGAAGTTGGGCATTTCTCAACTGTTTTGTATATGTCATGTCAGTATCATCTCCATTTTTAACATGCATCTGACTTGTGTTATGAATCTCCTGGGGATATT